AACTTGATATACTTGAGAATAGACTGCTTGATCAAAGGTGTGACTGAAAGGTCCGTGCGCAATGTCATGAAGCAGGGCTGCGAGACGAAGACGGCGGATGACGGAGGGGTGTTGTTGTGGAAATAAATGTTGAGCATAAAGCCCTGCCAAATGACAAGCCCCCAACGAGTGTTGAAAACGGGTGTGGGTGGCTCCGGGAAACACCATGGAGACTGGCCCCATTTGAGAAATCCCGCGGAGACGTTGAAAAAGCGGGGTCTGAATAATTCTTTTTTCCGCCGCAGTGAGGGGAATATGGTGGTGGACTGGATCGATCATTTCCGTCAGTCAATGTGGATGGGACTGGCACCACGGTGGCGTTTGGGTGGAGGTTGTTGTTGTTGTTCGTCGTCGTCGTCGTCGTCGTCGTCCGCGGTCAAATCAATGACCGTACTTGGCGGGCTGACGCGTAAGGAAAATTCATTTTGAATCATGGTGTAGAAGAGGTTGATTTTGTTCCGTTTGGCCATGGCAATTCTGAATGCATGTTCGTCACCTGATTCCAAACCGGGAGCGGGCTTGATTAAAATGGATTGGGCTGCAGTGTCAAAAGCGCGTTGAAGCATCTCGGCTGGGAAATGGGATCGTAACATGAGCCGGTACACATCGACTTTGCGTTCCGCGGGTGGTAAATCAGCATGAGACCGAAAACGGCGAACGCGGCCAATGACTTGGGCAATGCGGGCTTCATTCCAATGCGGTTCCATAACGACAAGAGCCGTGGATTTCATGAGATTCAATCCCTCGGACGCACAGGTGGTGAGAAATAAAACACGGCATGTCCCGGCATTGTAAGCGGCCACCGCGGTTGCTCGTTCGGGGTCTGAATGGGTTCCACAAATGAGTTGGCTGGCGATTCCTGTTTGAGTCAGCAAATTCCGAAGCCACACGACGCCAAAACTTTTGAATGCGGAATAAATCACAATGCGGCCTCCCGCGGTAAAGACTTCCCGGATCTTGTTGAGGGTCCATCTCATCTTTGGCCCAGGGATTCCCGCGGTGGGGAGACGGTTTGAATATTGGCGGAGCTTGGTGTAGTCTGCCACAGAATAGCGCTTCTTGGGTCCGATGGCTCTCCAGTATTCTTGCAAATAGGCCGGGTCATCGAAGAAGACCAAATGTTGGTCCAACCTGGGATAATCGGGCGAGGCATCATTATTGTGAAAGGCAATCAGACAGTTGCACGCGGGATTGGTAAATTGATTTTTCAACCACCACCGCACTTCATCGGCTCCCACTGATGTGACATTAAAGTCCCTGAAGCGTTTGTAGAGCAGCAAGAGTCGATTGACATTAAAGTCACCCTCCCATTGACCCAAGGACCGAAAGAGGCCGGTGTCTTCCCAGGTACTGGGACTCACGGTTCTTCGGTTGTAAGTTGGACTGAATGGTTTGGTGTTGGATGCCAGCAAGACCAAGTTCACAAACTCATCGGTGTCATTGGCTAGCGGGGTTCCGGTCAACAAGATGACGTGCTTGAATTTCCAAGCGTATTTGAGCAATCGGTAGGCGGTTTTGCCGTCCCACTCGTCCAGTTCCTCTTCCAAATTGCTGGCTTGTGCGTCAAGGTCGGACCCCGATTGCATGAATGTGCGGTCGTCGGCATCAAATTCCGAATCGTCCGTTTGAATGCCCAGGTCTTGTTTGTCAATGACCGTTTTGAATCGATGTGCTTCATCAATGACAAGGACGCACTTGTCCGCATTGGGAATACGCGGGAGAACCCCGTTGACGAACTGATGGTGACTTTCATACGCGTACTTTTGGCGTTGGAAAAGCGAACGATGTCCCGCTTCCAACTTGTTCATTTCTTGTTCGAAATTGTGTTTCAGGGTTTTAGGAGAGACGACCCAGACCTTGTCGATATCGGGATTGTCGACCAACAAGCAGCGGGTCATGGTCAAAGCGGTGAGGGTCTTGCCCGCTCCCACTGAATAAAACAAGATCATCCCGCGTGGGCGACACCGCCGAAAATACCGGACGACCGCGTGTTGGTAATCCTTCAACTGCAGTCCCGGATAGGCATCACACTGCATACTTAGATGAGTTCAACAAATTTTTCAATGACGGGTTCCAACATCTGTTGAAGCTCCTCACAGGTGGCCGATGACGTCCACGTAGAATTCACGAATGGCAGCTCCCGCAAGGCGTCGCACAGCAAAGGAAAAAGTTGGATGGTGTCGTTTAAACAATGTGGGCTGGGATGGTTGGCACCGGCTTCCACAAGACTGAACCAACGATCGATTAAATCCCGTGTGGTGAGAAATTCCGGGACGGGGTGGGCAGCAAAATAGTATTGATGGATGCGGGCGGATTCGGTGACAAAGATAGCAACGGCCATGGTTTGTGAATGACAGAGCGAATGAGTCTGATTCCGCGTTTTGAAACGTCCTATGGCAGGACTTTGCATTGCATTTGCCTGCAAATGGGAAACCCGACCTATGATCGATTTAGTGGCAACACTGAGGCAGAACTGTGGGCGTTTTTGGAAGCACGTCCCGACATTCAAATGACGTACAACGGGACGTGTAATCTTTCATTCGAGATGGAAACCTATGCGACCAAGTTGCGAAAGCTTGGAGTCCCCGCGAGATATGTGTACATTGGCGGTGGATATCATAGTGTGGTTGCGGATATTTCCGGACAGACCATTTCTATTTATTTCACCCGCGAATAATCAAAGACCATGGACACTGAGGTCATTATACTCGGGGTGTTGATTGCATGTCTGATGTGCTTGTGTTTCGTGGGAGTTCTCGGGTTGGATTATTGGCATTTTCATTCCCCGGCGGGCAAGTCCACTCCTTCATCCAGCAACACCTCCATCAATACCTCCAGCAATACCATTTCATCTAGCAACACCACTCCAACCATTTCATCCAACAACTCCACAACGACGACCCCACCCACAGCGACACCCACTCTGACGCCGCCGCCCGCGGCTCCCACGACTTTGACTTTGAACCCTTCTCCCATCTTGGTGGCAAGTGGTTCGAGTGCGCCTTTCATTGGTGCGGGTTTCATGATTTGGCAGTCGGAATCCAATGGGATGAATGTGATAAAGACATTGAATTGCAAGGTGGCTCGGGTGAAGATGAACATGAACTGGTCCAATGCCTCTCCTCCGACCAGTACCAATCCCGCGGATCACGATAATTACTTTAATTCCCTCGGGAGCCCGTATGTGACGGATTTGCAGACTCTGCGGGGCATGGGAGCAAAAAGCGTTTTGTGTGTGTTCCAGTATCCGGATGTGTTTGTCAGCAATAATAATGGCAGTTATACCTTCAACACGGGATTGGACCAAGCGTTTGGGGTGTTTGTGGGTGCTTGGATGCAAAGCTGTCAGAATTCGGGACAGGCTCCGGATTACTTGGAGTTATTTAACGAGCCCGACGGGACATGGGATCCGTATGTGAGTCCCGGGGATTTGGCCAATATCATTGTCACTGCGGCCGCAGAGTTGACTCGCCGTGGAATTGCGACACAAATCATTGCTCCAGTGTGCAGCAGTTTGGGGGCGTCGTTGAACAATGGGTATCTCGACGCTATGAATAGCAATGTGGTGAACAGCATTGGTGGATGGTGTGCACATGATTGGGATGATCAAGACACATTCAGTTCCTCGTTTGGTTTGACTACCCAGTGGTTGAATGCGGTTCGAGCCAAAGGAAACAAACCGACGTTTATGTCCGAATGGGGACTTAAAGACAATACGCAGCGGACCACCAATGCGGGCGGGATTGAATATGCGCGTCTATTTTTCTACCAGTTAAGCCAACAATTAAGCGCTAGCATATTCTGGGAAGCCGCGGATCAGCCGTGGGAGGGATCGCAGCAATGGGGTGTGATGACATCTTCCGGAAATTGGTATCCATCAGGGAACTTGATGCAGAAATACATGCCTTGGTATGGTTTGGTGGGCGCGACATACCAAACGGTGCAAAACAGTCTTCCCGGTGGTCCCGGTGGGTGTTTTGTTTCGAGTGTCCGCGGTACTTTGAATGGCAAGGACTCCACAGTGATAGGAGTGTGGAATGATACGGGTTCCAATGTTTCTTTGCCGGCACCCAATGTAGTTTTGGATCAACGAGTGTGGTCAGTGACCACGGTTTCGGTAGTGTCGTATGACGGTAGTGGATACAGTGCGAACTCTTTGGCTCCTGGAACTGGCGTGGTGTTTGTGTTGAACTGAATCGTGTAATAAATCGGACGCAGTGAATTTACGCGCCTGAAACCCGTAATAAATTTTTTTCTGGGCGTATAATTCAAGACCGGCGTCTTCGTTAAACAAACATGTCAACGGGTGGGCTTCTTCAACTTGTAGCTTATGGTGCTTAATTCTTGGGCACCAACAGTGAGCTGCCAAGGAGGTTTCGCGCTTCACCTCGTTGGGCAAACAGTGTAAGAGTGCGAATCCAGTATTTGCTATGTGAGGGGCGATGCGGGATGATATAACTCGCTAGTGGGTCAGTTTGACCCGCGAGACTACCAAATTGCGGGAACCTCCTCAAGAGCTCTTGCTACTTCTTCCGCGGTAGTAATGCCGCGGAATACCCGGGGTAATGACCTAGGGCAGGGCGAACGCCCGGGCTCCCGCTTTCGGGGGCCTTAGTAACAACGCAAGAGATGGGACAATCCGCAGCCAAGCTCCTAACATTATTTGGGGAGAGATGGATATCGGGAGGAGAAGCTTGAATTGGCAAAGGCCTACCTTCAGTCCGCAGAAACCAAATAATAAAGCTAGGAGACAGGTTCAACGAGCAGACGGTAGTCGGGGACACTTTTGTCCCTTAAGGTGTGCTCTATCCTTTATAGAAATATAAAGCCGAGGTAGATCTTGTAAATGTTGAATAGAAACACGACATTGCAAGACATTCTCGGGGCAGGATATATACCTCAGTAATAACCCCCAAATCACCTTCTTCCAGACGGTGTATCGTCGTCACACCAATTTTGCGATGGAGTCAATGGAACAGACTTTCAACGGTCAAGTCAATTTTGGCCGCAAGGCTACAGTTCAGGTAGCACGAAATGGTGACTTGATTTACCGCACCTACCTCGAATTGGACTTCCCGGCTGTTTCCAAGAACTCTACGACCACTCAAGGTGGAACACCCTCGGTTCGATGGGTGGATGAACCCGGCCATGTGATATTGGACGATTTCTACCTGGACATTGGTGGTACGACGATTGACAAGCACTATGGTGTGTGGCTGTCCATTTGGAATGAGCTCACCCAGACGGCAGAGAAGGAAGCCACCTACGACATCATGATTGGCCACACCACGGCCAACACCACCCCGGCACAGAGTTTGAATGCCTTTACGGCTTACGTGCCCTTGATTTTCTGGTTTGAATTTTGTGAACCGAAAAGTATCCCGCTCATAGGATGCAAGATCTTCTGTGAGGAAAACCGGTTGCGCTCTTGCCAAGTCCAGCTTTGCTCAGCTTGTTAGCCAGATGCTAGTGAATGACTCGGTCATTTGCAACACGTCCAAATTGCGGGAACACCCTTAGAGCCATTTGTACCAAGGTTTTGTGGAAACACGGGACTGGCCCAGAGTAACGAATCTGGGATGCAGGTAAAAAGCAAATGGATTGGGTCATCCGCAGCCAAGCTCCTAAGTCTGTAAGGTTTGGAACCATTGGGTTCCGCAGATATGGAGAAGGTTCAACGACTAGATGGAGGTGGGTTTGAGAGTCTAACCAGCTCGATGAGAACTTAAGGTATAGTCTAGACCTCACCGAAAGGTGAGGTAGTCTCGAACAAATCCCCCGGCCTTGCGCTACCTTTGGTGGCACTGATGTTAAATAATCATGATAGCATCGAAAAGTATCACGCCTGCAGGAAAAGGCTCTTCTGCGGGGTAAACGTTTGCGCCCCTGTCATCACGGCCAGATGCTAGTAACCCAAGACCGGGATTCTTGCCGGATCTTCACCGGTCTTTGGGTTGCGACATCCTTAAATTGCGGGAACCTCCTTAAGCTTCCACCACCGCTGCCAGAAAGGTAGCACCCCGGGTAATGACCGCGGGCAAGGTAACAGCGTGGAAGATTGGACAATCCGCAGGCAAATCTGTCTTCATTTTCGGCTAAACTAAGGCCGATTGTCAACAAATGAAACAGAAGCTTCAACGACTACAATGGATGGGCAGGAGAGTCTGACAAACTCGATGAATGCTTAAGGTATAGTCTAGTCCCTTGAATCAAATACACCGAAAGGTGGGGTAGTAACGATCACGAGGTAATGTTTTGCTTCGAAAAGTATCACGCCTGCAGTAAAAGGCTCTTCTGCGGGGTAAACGTTTGCGCCCCTGTCATCACGGCCAGATGCTAGTAACCCAAGACCGGGATTCTTGCCGGATCTTCACCGGTCTGCAGGTTGCGACATCCTTAAATTGCGGGAACCCCCTAAAGCTACTATCACCACTCCAGTACCGCGAGGTATTGCGAGAACCCCGGATAATGACCGCGGGTACGGTAACAGCGTAGTAGATGAAACCCCCAGAGGGTAGAAATGGGCGATCCGCAGCGAAATCTTCTGGGTTTTCAATGTCATATAAACACAGAAGAACGTCCAACGACTATAATGGATGGGCCTGAGAACTTGACACGCTCGACGACGGCTTAAGGTATAGTCTAGACCCTTGAACCAAATACACCGAAAGGTGGGGTAGTAACGTAAATTCACCTGAAATTCGAAGGGTAGAAAAGCATCTCTCCGCTCTGTAAGTAGGATACACGAGTGACAAATGAGATTGAGGCTCCTACACATGAAAAAGCCCAGATGCTAGTGGAACGATGTGTTCTGCGACACGTCCAAATTGCGGGAAACTCCTTAGAGCTCTGTGTACCAAGGTTGGATGGAAACATCCCACTGGCCCAGAATAACAGACTGGGATAGGGTAAAAAGCATAGAGATTGGACAATCCGCAGCCAAGCTCCTAAGTCTGAACGGTTTGCGTTGTCGTCGGCGCACAGATATGGAGAAGGTTCAACGACTAGACGGAGGTGGGTCTGAGTGATTAACCATCACGATGAAGGCTTAAGGTATAGTCTAAACCACATCGAAAGATGTGGTATCATTGTCGAATTCCGACCTGCTAGTCAGATGCTCATCACTGACGACAGCAATGCCCCCACAGGCGGATGGTCCAGTGTCAACCTGGTGGATGCCACCTTGTACATTGATTACATCTTCCTGGATTCTGAAGAGCGTCGTCTCTTCTCCCGCAACCCTCACGAGTACTTGATTGAGCAACTCCAGTTCACTGGAGCCGAGTCTTTCAACAACTCTGCCATCCGTCAGACCCTTAACTTTTCCCACCCATGCAAGGAGCTCATCTGGGTGCTGCAGCTCAACAGCGCCGCCACTGCCAACAACTGGATTGACTGGTCTGATGGTTCGGGTCATGGTCCAGTGGACGGTCCCAATGGTTCAGCCAAGATTCAGCTTAACACCTCTGACCGTATTTCCCAGCGTGGCGGCCAGTACTTCAACCAGTTGCAGCCCTACTGGCACCACACTCGTTGCCCCAAGGTCGGCATCTACGTGTACTCCTTTGCACTCAACCCCGAGGAACACCAGCCTTCCGGAAGTATCAACATGTCCCGTATTGAATCGACCACTCTGGTTTTGAATGTCACCACCGGCACCTCGCCATTGATGGTGTACACATATGCCCGTAATTATAACATTTTGCGCATAGCAAGTGGAATGGGCGGTTTGGCCTACGCGAGTTGATAAAGTTGATACAGGAACGTTGAGGAGAGTGTGTACTGTATTGGTCAGGGTATGTATTGTCGTCAAAAACAGGTTTAGATTTTATACAACATTTTGATAGGCTCCGACACCTTTGTACTGAATTGCCGCTGTATTATAAGCTCTTGCAGCGTCGACAGAGGAAGCACTCAAACTCCGAACTCCGAGGGTAGAAAAATGATATGTGTCAGCGCCTGCGGGTGAGGGTGGCAACGAGGAGGAAGAGAAAGAGGCCGAAGATCCAGCAACCTGCGTAGAACAACACATCGTTGTGTTGTACTGCTCCGGCTACCAGCCCGTACACTCCGGCGACTTCCAAAGACCCAAGCAAGACCAAGCGAATGTCAAGTCGATCCATCATGTTTGATTTATAAGACTGTTGACGGTTACGGTTAACAGTTTACGGTTTTAAAGGAACCACACCCCGCGGAAATGATGTTTAATCCTATTATCAAATCCGCGGTCAGCTTTGTCGTTTCAACCAAAGCTGGGCAGTTGATGCATATACAGTGTTTGGTTTCGTGGTGCAAACGCCGCAAACACGGCAGATGAGTTTCTTCGGCAACATGGGCAACACAGGCCCGCGATTTCACAACAAATGCCAGATCCGGGAGTTGAACTTCGTGTCGGATTCCATAGCAAATCCAATGGGCAACAATCTTCACAACGCCCACTGGCTCCATATGGATCACCGGGGCAAAAGGAAGACATGATGGCGAAGCAACACCAGTCACACGGGGAAGTGACCAGTTCACACAGGCGATGAGAGAATGGACGTTCCATGACATGTCTTCCCTCAGGAAAATTTCAGTAAGAGTGCGTGCCATTTTCAAAGTCCGCGGACGAGTGCGGTTTGGCCACCTCAGGAAGCCGCGGCTGCGCAGATTGAAATTTGGTGCTCCTGGTGCTTCCTGTGAACGCATGCAATTGTTTTTTTTTATGTGGAAGGAAAGCAATTATGGGCACAGACTACGTGTACACCAACACGACACGAGGTGTCAAAGAAACAGCACCTGAGCACCACGATTGCCATCGCAATATTGAACGCTGTGGAGGGCAACATGTCAAATACGCTTTTGAGGCCGTGATTCGGGCGAATGGCTGGTCGTTACACGACATAGTCCTAGCGGTTGGAGACAGCCACGGAGAAGAATTTTGTTATAGAAACGGCACCGTGACGAGCGGAATGAGACAATGGTCGGGAGACAAATGTACTCGAAAAGGATGTTCTGTATGTCCCGAGGAGGATTGCGAGCAACCAACTGGGGGATAAATCAATTCAAGCTGCCGAGATGATATTGGAAATGAGGGTCGCGACAGCTTGAAGATGAACAGAACCGTCTCGAACCTTGGCGGACTGAAAGTGGGGTAGTAAATCCCGGAGGATCTGCAGATATTGCAAGATGATCTCCACACTGGTCGTGTCGGCACTATTCTTCCATGTAAACAACTGATTTCCCAGATAGAATATTACCTGATACCACAGACGTTGCTCAGAATCGACGTTAATATTCGCCGCGATCAAGTCGGATAACTCTTGTTTGCGCGTAGGTGCCACAAATCCCGCGGAACAATCGGATTCCAATTTGTGGGCAATCATTCGTTGCACTCCTTCACCGCACTTTCGCTTCAATTCAATCAGTTTAGCGTTCCATGCAACGCGCTGCAGTACCGCGGTATCAAAAAGGACATTTCCTGACCCGGAATGCCGCAATACATGAATGACTTTCCAGTTGTCTTCTACCAAGAACACATCAAAACGGCGCGACAACTTTGCCGAGGGTTGGACGAAAGCGTCGCAACACATCTTCACAAGCAAGGCGTTGGCGGTGTTGTAACACCAAACAATCATTTATTTTATATCCATACAGAAAACATGACATCGGTGGTTCAAGTTGCACTAGCTCCTCTTACGACCCTGTGGTATGGCCGATACCAAAACGTGGTGGTCGTCCTGTTTTGGATTTCCGTGGTCTTGTTGGGGGTGGTCCAGGTGTTGAACGGCATTAATACCATCGAGGACAAAGATATCTATGCTCGACAATTGTATATCGCGGGCGTCGTGTTGATCATTTTGACGACTGTGGGTCATGCCGCCGTGGTGGGGCTTTTGGTAGGGCTGGGGATTTGGAAATCGCTTACGATTCCGGGTTGATGCCCATAGGCTCGTGCTTTAAGGCCCAAGGTACATGGTTCCAACGCTCGAGAGTCATCTTTTCAGTGAGATGATTTCGCAGAATGTCTTGAACGATGCCTTTAGGAAGAACATGACTTTGGTAGCCCACGATCGAAGATGATTGGTAGTAAGTGCGAAGCCCGTTTGAGTTCCATTGTCGTACATAAGCTTGATCGGCCCGGAGAATCGAGGTGATCATGTACACGGGCATGGTCAAATAAGTGCGGCAGACTTCTTGGTGGTTGCAGAGATAATGATGTAGAGCCTTGATATAAGACGTTTCCGAGCCCATGGATTCGACAAACAGATCAAGCGGTGAATACAATTTCAAACCGCGGGATTCCTTTCGAAAAAGACCGCGGTATTCATATTGCAATAGAATGGTTATAGGACCTTCGATGGTTCGATGATGTCGCGGAGCATCATCGGGTAGTTGGTCTGAATAGACTTGGCCGTGGGAGTGATACAGGCTGCCGAGACCGTTGTGTGGGAAAAAAATGGGTTCTTCCGGGATGAAAAACATATTTGATTTCTGGGCTATGGGTCGATCGATCAATCGATCATGCAATGGAGAAAGTGCTTCCTGCCTGGTCGTTTGACCACGCTTTGTAAGAGTGGTAACCAATGACCACGACAAACAAGCCGATCAGCCCGGCGGTGAGCCACATGGGATAAACCACGTTGCGGTAAGCGTAGAAGATGGCGATGAGAATCACGGCCAGGATGATGTGGATGATGTTGATGTAATAGCGCGGAATGGTCATTTTTGTAAGGTTACACAAGAAAAAAAGTTGAGATGATCGTTTTATTGCCGGAACTGTGGATGATGATCTTTAAAACGTACCCGGTGGAAACGTGGAAGATGCGTCGGGTAAACCGGTACTTCCGTATGCTCTTTGACGACTCCTACGATTCCGCGGTGATAAAGAGAAGGTTGGAGCAAGTGGTTTTCGGCCTACCAGTGGGCGAGACAATTAGTGTGCGGTTGATTGACGTTAAATACATGTATCGACCGCGGCGAGAACCACAGTGTCGCAACATCTACGTACCGAATGATGGTTTGTGGCTGAAATGGTTGCAGGCGGTGATGACAGAGTTCTACGAGTACAGCTCACGAAACAAATGGTTGTATTCCAATTATATACTGCTTGAGATTCAAAGCGTGAAGAGAAAAAAACTGTTGCAGTAGCCAAAGGATGGAAGCGGCAGATAGAATCACCATACATGCAGGCGCCATCGTCTTAAATGGACAGACTGTGACCACCGAAGGTGTCGGTTCGTTGAATGTAGGTGGAGTGGCCGTTAATAACGTGGGATCGACCAATTCAGTGAACGTGTACCCGAACGTTGACAGCGGTGCCGCGATTTTGCTGGAGTCCACATCGACGCCTCAGGCTTACCACATCATCATTCCCAATGGAGGCACACTCTCCGGACTTCTGCTGACTCTTCCGTTGGGCCCGATACCCAACCAGGTGGTGAACATCACCATTTTGGGTACAGTCACCAATTTGGCTGTGCAAATTGGCTTTGCACCTGGAAATCAAACTATATCCCTGGGGGAAGAAACCGCCATCCCCATTCAGTTCGTGTATTCCGCCGAACAAGGCTGGTTGCCCCTTTTCGCCTTCATCATGACGACGACGTAGCTGGGTTGTCGTATTTGTTTTATCATTCAATAATAGCGCTAGCTAAACGTCACTCCTCCCAGTCACCCGAATTGAAGGCGGTAGACCCCTATTCGATCAGGCGGGGTCAATGCGTAGTGCAGCACACTGATCCACGCTCGGCATCTGTCGGTATTCGTACTGGGCCTCGTTCGGTAATGCCGAACAATGGTGGTACTGCCGCCACGAAGGTCAAGCTTGATTTCACAACATCGCCTTTGAGTTTTGTGAGGAGTCCATTTGAAAACCCAGCGCCCCGAGGCTCGACGGACCCAACCAGGGTCCACCCAGACACTCAGCGTCAATTTCCCCCACTGCGTCGTTCCGCAACGACCATGGTAATAGTCACTGAATGTTATTCGTTGCCATGGTAGGTTACGGAGGGTATGACGGGCCCCCCAGAACTGCGGAAATGACAAAGCTTCTGCCAGTAACGTGACATCATCCAAGTACAACGCAATGGCGTCCCACAATTCCACGGGCAGCTTCCGATCCATGTCATTTCAATGACGCCAAAACGAGTACATGCCCCGGTCCATTTCCGGCTGCACAGAGGCAAGATGAATCCATTTATTTGCCACCCACTTAGTTCCGGAATGAACGGGATTGCCGCCGTGTAAACTTGCTTCCAAAATGGTGCCGGAAAGGTCGGTATCATAAAACACCACTGCTTTGCCTTGTTCTGGTTTGACTTGGACGTTGGGTCCTAGATTGGGGAAGGCAGTCTCACCTCCCGTAAAGTCGTGATTGAGATAGAAGAGAACGGTGATGTGCCGCGGACCCATGGAGGCATTCATTCGATGACAATAATGTTCGTCACCGCGGCAGGCGTCAAAATGGGGTTTAAAGTAGCCGCCGGGAGGATATTGAACCACTTGTAAAGCTTCCTGGTCCTCAACTGCAGTATGGGTGAGCCGGGCCACTCGTTGGGAAATATTGGCGACGACGGGGTCGTGATCATGAAGCCAGGTTTGCTGGGATTTCCGATAATCATTAACCACATCGGACTCGGCTTCATATACAGCACTGGTGACGAGAGACGTTTGGGAGACTTGAATGAGATGATGGCATTCCGCGGGGGTCAAAAAATGGGGGATTTCGCGCACGCGGTACTTGTGTTGACGGAAAGGGAACATCAG